TCGAGGCCTCTATTCCTGAAGTCCTGACTCGGGCTTTCAGTTGTAGGCTCCTTAAATATTTTCGGGGGAGACTAACGTAAAACAAACACAGTGCAGATTCTAATGTGCAAATATCTCGGTTTCAAAAGGTTTCCTCCACGTAGTCTTCTTACTGTATACACTTCTTTCTCTGCAGTGGCTGCTTATCCTGCTTAAAGATCGTATTTTTTATTTTTGAATACAGTCAAATGTTTCGCGCCTATTCAGTCTTCGGGTAGGAGACCTTGTGTTAAGCTTTCGGTGAAGAAGTGTTCCAATAATGACTTACTGAATATAAAAATTAAGTGAAATCTCATGTGAAAAAATTGTGGCGTATTTTTTAGATTTACAGAAGTACGCCTTTAACAGCTGTTTGAAGCAATATTAAGAGGTGTTTATGTGTAAACAGTATCCAAGGTCATTGAAGTTAAGCTAATGGAGAGCGCAGTATGAGACAAAGAACGAGTTTATCTTTGCTCCTTGACCTGATAGCAATTTAAGAGTTGGTCCAGAAACCTAATCCAGAAGGATGGATAATGATTACTTAACCTCTCATCTTTTTAGGAGGAATTGAGGTTATTGACAGCTACGTCAGCATGTTTTGCCAGAAACTGTCACGGTCCAGGAGAAAAGTCCTGGGAAGCTCCCGTGTCTCTCCGGAGGCTGGGGAGGCAGCGGGAGAGGTAAATGTCCTACCTGTTGCATCCCTGCTGCCCACAGCTCAGGGCTTCTGCTCAGAACTCACCACCACACTCAGCCTGGCTGCTCTGCTCCTCAGCTTTTATCCTGGCAGAGAGGAGAGCCAACAGCTCAGGGCAACAACTTCTTCAGCCACGGCCGGCAATTCTGACAGCGGCCGCGGCAAAGCCTAAAGCTTAAAAAGCGGGGTGTGTGTTAAAGGCTATTCTCCTCCCTGCCGTTTCACTCTGAGCACCAAGTTTTTCCATAATGCTAACTAGTCCTTAATCTTCCTCCATCTTATCAAAGACTTTGTCCTTGTAAAATAGAATAGAGATTTATATTTGCAACAGGGAGGGTGATGTCATGTTTTGGAAGAGCTGGCTCTGGATTGAAGGCACATATGCAAACAGCCAAGCCTCTATTTGTTTTTCATGTAAATTTTAGTTTGCATAGGCAGCTGGTAGAATCTGAAACAGTTTGAGATATGCTTTGATACCTCAGGGATAAAGGGCAAGAGTCCTCCCTGGCAATCTTTATTTACGTAGGAAGCTCCTGGGAATTTTGAGACCTAATAGTGGAATTAAGAGTATCAACAGAAGTTCATTACTTTCATAACCATCTTTAAAACGTACTAAGTCACATATTGTAATTCTGAATAATTTATCTGTGTGATAGCTGCATATTACGTAAACTGTGTACATGAGATATAAATTACATATAAACTATAAATATGTGTAATAAAATATATAAACAGAATACATAAGCTACAACTAATGCATGCAGTATCTTATACTGAAAGATCACTATGATTGACTTCTAAGAAAAAATCATTGCCCAAACTGAATACAAGAAAATTTAAAGAGCTATATTTTCTTCAACTCACTTGTCAGTATATTTGATTTAGTAATATTTTCCATTTTCAAGAAAAAGATTTTCTGTTCCCTTTTGTTAGTTAAAAAAAAAAACACAAATAGAAGAAAGCTGACTATGTGAAGTAAGAGTCAAAATACTCTTTCTACCAAAGGTGCTTCATTATTCAAATACAATTATGTTTACAAAGAGCCATAATTTCCACATCATCAGGCATTTAGAAGGCTCAATGATTGAATTTGGAGTGGGGCCCTTATTCAGCAAAACATTAGGTATGTTGAAATACATTATTCATTCTGCTGAAGGCACTTCATTAAAATTAAGCTTTAAGTTTGCCTCATCAAAGACTTTAAAAATAAATGAAGAACAAGCTTTTTGATCTGAATGCTAGATTGGAAACTTTCTCTATTTGTTAAATTAGGATCCTGCTTTTCTCTTTCTTGGAATATGTTGAGAGGAGTAGACTTATGTTCGCTTGATACCTGAATTAGAAGCTATTGCTCATGCACGCTCAGGTCCTGGTGGGTTTTATGAACCAAGTTCAGTTTGACTTTGTGCGTAAACGAGAGAAAGACGGGAAGCCTGACAGGGACAGTGAGAAGATCCTTATATTTACCTGTTAAAAAAAAACAAGGACAAAGCAGTAAAGCTCTTCAGCTTGGTCCTCAGTTGCCAAGGAGGAACCTACCAAGCCTTGCCTTGAAAATCAACTGGACGCATCTTGTGCCTCATCAACGCGTAGCGCCCTCGCCCCGGCACCATCAGGCCTACAAAGTAGCGCTGTCAATACCTTCTTTGCCACGTCTTCCCCTTCTCCAGTGGCACAAATAGGTTGGCAAAAAAAGCGTGTCATGGGCTGCGGCTGGATGCGAAAGGGCCTGAGCTAATAGCGCCGGCAATTTCTTTTTTAGCCTGTGGGAGGGAGGTGTTGTCGTAACAGGTGTGGGGCAGCATATGTTGCAGTTCGGGCTTTTGTCGCGGGACCGCGTGGTTTGTTGACATGTCTGCTTCCTGCCACGCATCGACTCTCTGCAGGTCTTTTTCAGAACTCGGCTTTCATCTTGTACAGATATAGACGTTTCCATTGTGCGGCCCTGTGAATCTGAAACTAGCATCTATTCTAGAAATGAAGGGGGGAAAAGGAAAGAAGAAAACACCTATTTTAGAGAAATTTTCGCAACATAAAGCCTAAGAATATTTAGCATAAACTTGCAATAGGCAAACTCTTATGCCAATTTTTGATATTTTATCCACTGTATTATTAGTATTCTTCTGAAAAACATCATCCCTACACCCAAGAACCTGCTGGCTTAGATGTTCACCCAGCAAATGGAAGAGTCAGTTCAAGTACCTGCTGCAGTGAATATGGATTTATTTAAGGTGAAACGGCTTCGCTATGTGGTATGTAAGGAGCCTTGCCCCAGTTCAAAGCTACGAAGGCTCAGGGTGACAGGGAATCGCATCTGCTGTTAGAGACCTGGAAGTTCCTGTAAATACAGCACCTGAAACTATATATATATATATAAATACATATATATAAATATATATAAAACCTTATGTAAGCCTTTTAACTACCTTGTAGAAGATTGCTGGATTCTGCCATTCTTTTGTAGAAAGCCACAGGTGTCCCCTTGGGAGAAAAGGAATGTGGCCTGGAGAAAGGAGCGTGGCATTTCTTTCAGCAACTTAAGGTCATACAAGCCATTAATAGTATTTGGAATAAAATGCTGAATGCCTGATCCCAGTTCCTGTCTGTAGCTGCCAAACTCTACAGCTCTTCAGACACTGGATATATTTAAAATAGTAGACTTTCAGCATCTATACAAGTAGAGCAGAGAAAATATAAAGGAAAAAAATAGTTAACTTTAATCTATGACATATGCTAATATTTACTGAGCATAAAACAATACTTATATTTCTTTTCCAAAACTACAATCATATTAAACGCCACTGAGAGGAGTCTTTGCTTTTTTAGAACCAAGAATATTTTCAGTTATGCAGTATCAAGTTTCTGGTAGTTTATGGAAGTACATTTACTTATGCAATTATGTATGCAATACATATACAATAATATGTATAAAATTATGTATACAATAATACAATCTATTATTAAAAATTTAGTTTGTGGGAAATGTGAATTTCTTCTACATACTGAAAGAATAGGAGGTGCAGCAACGCCCAGTCTTCTCCCAAGGGTAAAACTAGAGGAGATAAGACTTTAGGCGCTGCATAAACACATCATAGAAAAACCTACCGCGGGCAGCACCATGACAGGTACCTTTTGCTTTGTTTAGCTCCATCTCTGAGAATATTTTATGCAAGTTCTATTTTTTTGGCCCATTGAGCGTGTGCTTAATGGGACAAAGGAATCCAGCCTGGGGAAAAGTCCAGGCATTGTTTTCCAAGATCGCAAAAAATAGCCAGGAACGGGAACTGAAGGCACCGTAAAAGATCGGGCCAAAAATACACGAGGCAGAAATGAAGCAAACCCAGGAGCCTGTGTTAGGCTCGGTGAGCAGGCACCCCCAAACACAACCCAGCGCAGGGGCAGATCTCCCCAGGGCAGCAGTGCTGGCTCTCCCAGGGCGTGTTGGTGCGCTCAGATAATCCCCTGCACAGCTCTGATGTCATTTTGCCCATAAGCCAAATAAAAACATGTGCGAAGCTACAAAGCATTAGCTCGGCTCTGTTGGTGACCTGGACCTCTTTAATGCTTCCAGGAAAGCGTATCACGACACCAGAAACATTAGAGATGCACCGATGCGTTAGAGATGCTGAAAGCCATTCAATTTTGGCATTTGCAACAGCCTACAACAGGGCTACATGCAGGATCAAGGCTTCAGGTTGCGAGCAAATTCCCAGCTGTATGAGCAGGTAGCTCCATTGATTTCACTGGTTCTTGCCATCCACTTACAGGCTTGGAAAATTCGTAATACTTTTAAATCTTTGCATGATGGAGGTCCAAAGTCTAATTCTGTGGGCCCCTTCTTGTAATCTCTAAGGTGACAGATGCCATCTGAAAAAGGCATAACTCAGAATTAAATTAAGGACATCTGAAATCCTGTTCAAGTTGTACATTTTGCGCAGTTTACTGAATGCAGACCTCAATTTTGCTGGGCAGGTCATTGCAAACACTGTAGGAAAAGCATCAGATACCTAGTGAAACCACTGAGAAACTATACTTATCTGCATCTGCTATATTTATCTCGATTTTCCAATTTCTACGTTGTTTTGAACCAATAAAAAGAAATAGCAGTCTAAATATTGCATGTTTGAAATGCTGTACATCTGCTGGCGCACTGAAACTTTCCTTTGACTGCTCTGAAATTAGTCGTCATCTTAGCAGTGCTTGCATTCTGCTGGAAAAAAATAAAAAGAGCAACTTGGTATTTTAGACGCTTTCTATCTAAAATGAAAATAGTTCATACTACAAGTAACAGTGGGATTGTCTGTCTTATCTGTTGCAGAATAAGATGTCTCAAACAAGGAGGATCCCCAGGCACTTTGTTGTCTCCAGCTACCCCCGTCAGGCACCGGGAGAGGAAAGTTACAGCAGCCTCCTAACAATTCCAGACACCACACAGCAAATGGAGTTTAATATCAGGTATCATCATTAATGCTCCGTCTGTCTGTCCCTCTCACACCCGATTCAAAACCCCAGACTTTCAAGACAACTCTTGGCTAAGCCAAATACTCAGTGGATGCTATTGAAAATAGACTAGATACAACTGTAGATAACCTGTCGTGCTTGACAGTGATCACATAACATTATTGTGTGTTAAATGTCACTGCACAAGCACGCAGATGTGATTCTTCATTAGAAACCCAGCTGTTATAACAAGCAGCTGAGGAAGCCATTTTTACATAATCTCTAGGCGCCTCTCATAACAAACCGATAGTTGCCTTTTTACCCTGTGTAATCCTCTGTATACATTTTTTTCCAGTTGAGGAGCCCAGGGAATATCTTTCTTCATGCCCATGAAAATTATTTTCTGTGTGCTTTTTGTTTGAATGGCCAAATTAATCCCAAAGTTTTTCTAGACTGATCTCTAGAATGAGGCTCTTAAATCTACTGTTCAGCAAGTTTCATAAAGAGATCTCAGCAGAAATACAACAGATTAAAAATATATAATCTGATTTTTTTTCCATGAAAGAAATGAAGCGTGCCAAAGAGAACCCAAATTTCATGGAAACTTTCATTAAGAAAGTCTAAACAGAGTTTGAAATTAACACAAGTTCCTTAGCTGCTGGCTTCACAGAAGTTGCTCTCCGAGGACTTGAATGCTCCAGTTCTCCCCCAACAACCTCTATGTTTTGCTCAGATAGTTCTCTAGCACCACCCAGTAGCTGGAGACTGTGCTTCACCAGGGAAATCACTGGAGTAAATCAGTTGGGCAACAAAATGAGCAGTTACTTAACATGAAATATTTTGAGACATCTGAACTGAAAGATATTTCCATATTTTGACTTTGGGGGAAAAAAAATCCATTGCCAAAGACAAAGAAAGCAGTCACCTGAAAAGGCAACATAAGTTTTCAAGAATGCAACATGTGCAGCTCTTTATGAAAAAATCAGCACTCTTGCATATGCATAAATACAGACTTAAGATGTCAAATCAAGAAAGCTATTAGCAAAAAACCCCAAACCCCCAACATGCAGTTTTCACATGCCCAGCTTTGGTGGAGTAACCTGCAGGCAGCTTCAGAAAGAATCAATGTTGCAAGGTTTTCCTCTAACACACGTCCCGAACCCCTCACAGCTCCGCCGTGCAGGTTGGCCATCAGCTGGCCCTGATCGGCGATGATTTCAATCGGCTCTACAACAGGAAGTTTGAAGATGCCCTGCTTCACCTGGCACACAGGTGAGTTGTGTTGTTGCATATTGTTGGTGTTTACATACTTTTAGTATTCACCTAAGATGGACAAATAATAACGTTTCGGCGCCAACAGCCAAAGTTTGGTATTGCACCGACCACTGCTGCTTCATAGGGAACCTGAGGAAATAGAAACTTCAGCTTATGTTACAAGGAGGGATGATGTAAATTGTTGCCATAGACTCAAACCATTTACAGTGAGAGTTCTAAAAAGAAAAAAGGTGGGGGGGGGGGAAAGAGAGGCTTCTCAGTATTTAAGATTTTATAGTGATTTCTGTAGGTGCCTTTAAGTAAACCATTTAAGCATAACTGAGTGATGACAGCAACCTAGCAAGGGTGATGCTCCAGGAATTAACAGGTTAGTGCATGTTAAATAATCTGCCAGTGCACATAAATCCTAGGTGGCTAAACTAGTTTGAATTGTCTTTTACCTGCTGTGAGCTGACAGCTGCAGATTAACTTACATGCAGTAACGTCCTAAGGTCATACATATAATTATCATTTGCACCCTAAATATACTCAAGTGCAATTCCATCTCTTTTCTCTCATCGGTTTGGCAAAAGTCAATTATTGCAGACCTCAAAAGAATGTGGTTCAGTAGTATGTGGGTTCCTGAACACAGACAGCAACCCTTGGTAGACATAAAGCCTGGATTTATGTCTGTATCCACTAAACCTGGATATAACTTTCAGAGACTCTCAGGCAGCTGGTCACATTAGTTTTATATTACTGCACTGGACTCTGATTCATTAAGGATAAACTGCACTTGCTGGGTTGCACTGTTCTGAGCCCAAAAGAGCAAAGGCCCAAGGCTGCAGTTCAGGAGACCTGCTGCACATTTTGCTGGTTAATGCTGGTGATCAACTAATTCTAAAAACAAGCTGTTACATTTCATATAAAGGCAGGTGTAATGAATGTTGAGGAGATGCTGAAACTAAGTAGACTAAATATATAATATGCATTTTATGACATTCTATTATTACATATGTTTCTTGACTTCTAGTAATCTAATCAGCGGACAGGAGAAATTGCAAATTTTCCAGTCAAGAAAATCAGGATTTTTTTTTGCTTTTGAACAGTGTGGGCAGAATCTTACATTCCCTTTGAAGTCAGCCATAACCAATGCTTCCTCGGGGGCGGGGAAGTGAGGAAAGACTATTTAGCCTTTAAGCCCTTCTAAGTTACGAGGTCTCCTTCCTAGGCATTTATAGAAGCACACATGTATGTATACTTCATAGACCTGTATGTTCTCCACAGAAAGAACATACTGGAGTTCTGGATTTCTCTTTATAATTTTCTAAACTCTGGTATTCTACTTACAAACTGTAGAATACAAATATACATATATATATATATATATATAAAATCTCCCCCTCCTTTTTCTTTTTTTTTTTTTTTTAATTAGGGTTGCTATCAGTGTTTTCCAGACATGGAATATTATTAAAAGTGTTATAAGAAGCTTTGGAAACCTTTGGAACAATAACTGGACTAAGAGGATCATTGGCTATGCAAGCTGGGTACGTTCTGTCCTTTATCTGCACTCCTTTTGTTGGGAAGTGGGCAATAGCAACCACTCACTCCCATGTAAATGTAAAGCACATAACGTGAGGCTGGGTTTGGATTTACTCCCTAGTTTGTTGCTTCCACTCCCCCACCATCCTCTTCTTTTAAAACACTGACATTTCTTGTTCATAGTGTATGCCAGAAGTCTGCAAACAGAATCAAACAACTGCCAAAGCCCCACTGGAATCACAGGGACTTTGTGCAGACAGGTTTTTTCACTATGAAAAGTTTTGAAAAAACAGGCCCATTTATCCCATCTAGGATGCAGTAAGTGGGATTACATTTTACATTCCGGAGAAGAGCTGCGCAGTCCTCAGAGCTTCGATAGGAACATGCCACTGCACCAGCCACGCCGGTACCCGAGCACTCCACACGCTCTCCACCAGCCCTTTCTGGAAAGGAGCTGGACTGTCCTCTCAGTTGGACACCAACCTCACGTGCAGGCGCTCTGGCTAGCTCTTCTGTACCACCTTTTTGCTGCTTGTTGTTTCTGACTGCGTCCCCTCTCTTCCCCCAGGTTTGCAGGCTGCCTTTCAGGTGCCTGTGCCAGAAGCTGGTGCCCGCAGCCGTGCTCGTCGTGGCGTTTTGGTGGACCATAAATTATGGACTGCAGAATTAATGCAGAGCGTCGCAATAGGAGGTCATTGCTGGACTCTGACCAATATACTCAACACCCAGGTGGTGGCAGCCAGTTTGTTTTTCAAATTTTCATTGATAAAAATCTCTTTTATATTTAAAACCTAGGCTAGTGCTGGGTCACTGCTGTTTCATATCTTTTTTTAAAAGAAAAACTTTTAAAATATCATGAGGTTGTTGCTGGATAACTGCCTGACTTGCTATTTTTGAAATGGGAGTCTGGGTAATTAGGAAGTTTGTTTCTGTCTTTTTTGTTGTTTTGTTTTAATGCAACATAAAGTAGACACATAAAGTGTCTCTTCATATAAACAACTTCATAAAAAAGGTTCTAGATTGTGGAAGACTGAAGGAATGCTGGTCATCCTTTAAATTTTAACACTGAAAAAGTAATAGTAAGGATTAAAATCATAATACTGTTTAAGAATTAAACTGTTTCTTCAACTATTTTCCAGTGTTATCTGCTTAATTTTCCAAGACTGGGCCATTGTGCACGCTAATCACGAGACAAGATACCCTGTTCTCTTTGTTACTCAGTACTACAGGGAAAGGCTAGAATTTGGTAGAATTTGGGAAAGAGCCTTTTGACACCACCGATCTGCAGGGGAGGGGGAAAACTTCTGAAAGGAGACCTGAGCACAGCTTAGAAGATGGAGGTGGTTTTAGGGGCCACCCTCTCTCCCTGCACAAGGCAGCACGTAGGAGCAGGTGGGTTTCTCGTCCCTCACAAACAAGCCCCAACTGCCCTGAATTATTTGGTCCCCTTGGGAGCTTCTTCCCCAGTCTCTGCTGTGCGAGTTTTCTCACACTGCAGACACAGTGACAGCCTCTGGCCTCAGGAGGGAAACTGAAAGCACCTTGCTGTGGTTTGGGCATTCCCCCTAGAAGAGGGGACGCCTGCTTCCTCTCTCCCATCCTTCATGTATTTTTGAAAAAGGAAAGCACAGTATTTAATGGCCTAATGACCTGAGTGCTCTTCTCAGGCACAACCTCTGCTGGCATGAAATGTGAAGCAAAAAGGTGGCGCTTAGAGGGTGATGGCTTCAGTACCCCAGCATTCAAGCACTAGCATTTTACAGCATCTCCAAAAAACAAGATTTGATTTCCCATTCCACAACGGGCATGCAAGGTATTTTCTTTGAAAAGCAGGCTTAGTGCCTTAGTTTTTGCTAAGGCCAGAAGGTGGCAAACTAAATTGCACACCTAGCCAAAAAACAAAGACCACAAACAGTCATCAGAGAACTGACCACTCTGTGTAACTCCATACTACTACTGTGATAGCAAATACTTCAAATTTATTGCTTAGGAATTTCTGCTGTTCACTATCAGGAGAATCTAATAAACAGCCTTTGCAAGTGTAATAACCCTGCCACACACACCCCAAGTGCAACCGTTATAATTTTTATAATGCTTTACCTGGCTTAATGGCCCTAGCAACACCAATTAGTTTCATTTATGTCTAGATAAGCCATCTTTATGCACAGGGAAACAACTGTAAATAGGAGACTGTGACACTACCTATCTTTGAGCTATATGGGATGGCTGGGCCTTTTCACCCTCTTGGATTGCAGTCACCAATGTAGTATTTTCAGCCTGGGAAGACGAGAAGCCTGGCATGCAGCACGTGAGGTCTGAAGCACAACATTGAGGAGTATAAAATGCCATTGGACCTACAGAACCAGCAAACTACAACACAAATGGGGTCCGCCACAACAAGGAGTGCTGGAAACAAGCCCTGCACCAACCAAAAATGCCCAGGGGCTTCTCCAGCACACGAAGAGGCATTCAGTGCTCTGCACCAAGGCCCAGGAGACCCAGATTCAGTTGTTGCTACCACAGGCTTCCTCGTGTGACAGGGTTTATGGCTGGCACCTGATGTTCATATCCTGTTCCTGCCTGCTCCTGGCTGAGGCAGCCATACCGACTTTCACAACTCATCCCTATGGGTTCCAGGAACAGGAGGAGCAGATCAGGAGCACGCTTAAAAATTCAGAGAGAATAATCAGCTCCAACATCTTTAATTACTCCACGTGCTTCTCAGCTTATATAAACTGTGACATCGGCCTACAGCATGAGATACTTGGCTCCTGTTTTTGAACATGCTGCACTCAGGAAAGAACTGCTGAGACAGAAAAAAAACAATGAAAAAAGATAAGAAACTATAAAATGCTACAATAAGAATCACTGACCAGTAATTGTGAGCTGTAGTCCCAAATATTACAAAAGATGGTTTTAAAGTCACTGATTTGGCCTAAAGAGATGTAGTCAGATGCTCAGAGAGCAGCATGTTAATTCATCCTTTAATGATGCAAGGTGTGATTTAGTGGATACTGAATGATTACACATTAGCTGTAACAAAACCCTCGCTGAAATTATTTTCTAACACCAACCTCAGCATTTACCTGGCAGCCTGCCCAGTGATAAAGCTGTCTCTATGTTAGTAATAGTTAATGTTTATACATGCCAAAAGCAGAACTCGTACTAAAAGGCAGTATTAGCCACCAATTTCACAAAAGAACCATTCAGTAACACACACCAATAGTCAGGCATAGCCCACACCAGTACAGTTTAATTTGCTTTCCCTTTCAGGAGTGTGAAGTTATTAGATGCTCAATACCATAACTGGAGTTTAATCTGCATTTGATAATAGATTATTGAAGAGCTGTAAGGACTAAAAGTTTAGGTTGAAGCTTCTGGGCACTCACGTACGCTTGTTTGTCAGTGATCTCCTAACAAATGCTATTCTCTAAATTTTTCTCCTTGCTTCACAGTTGTGAATATAGAGAACTGAAATCTTAACATCCAAATTCTCCTTACCTGACACACAGTTACTACAGAGTTCACCCCATACAAAAGTACCCACCTAAAAAGTCTTCAAACTTCCAGTGCAGCCCTACATCTCTTTAGGAGCAGAGAATTTGGGTAAATTCCTTTATTTAGCGAAACTCTTCTCTCTGGTAACTTAGGACAACCAGAACGACACTGATCAACTGGAAAGAAAAATCACTTCTCTTTTTATATTCTGTAACAATATACCTTGCAGAATTAAATATACCAAGAAAAATCTTTATTAATAGTTTAACTTCAAGAGAATAATAATCATTATATTATCTTCTGCCATATCCAGCTGCTCACCAGCAGGACAGGTCAAAATAGAAGAATTTTAGAAGAATAGAATAATGTGAGTCTCCCACTAGTCAGTCAGTTTAGGAATTAGAAACATAACCTGAAAGTCCTTAGCAAGGTAACATTTTAGCTAAACGAACCCCTGCCACAATCTGGAAACATAATCCCACATCCAGTTATACACTGATACCTGTGCAGCAGACAGCAAAACCTACTGACTTCAACTTGAATCCAAGCCAAAAAAATTAAAAAAAGAGAAGGGAAGTTGCTTGCAGGATTGAGGCCAACCAGAGCATTAGTTGGCCGGTTTATTGATATTTTGCAGTCGTGACACAAAGGGAAAAACCAAATTGTGCAAGATGCTCTACGGTTCTGCCAAGGAGGCGCGCTCGTGAGCGGTCACGTGGGGAAGGCAAATACACCCTGCAGCCACGGCCGCCCTGCTCGCCTCGCCACGAGACACCAACGCTGTGTAGGACTTCCTGCTCGGGAACTCTGGGCTATTTTTAAACCAAGCAGGAGAAATCAACAAAGCTGCATGGATGTTTCTCAAAGAGTTCTTTAATCCTCTGCTTCTCCCTCATCTTCTGAAACATCGACATGTTTGTACTGTCTCCAGGCCTTCATATTGCATTTTTTGAGGATGGCCCCCAGCTGCTTCCCAGGCCCCACTTCATACGTGTAAGGGAACTCGGTTCCTTGCCTCCTCTCGTACACGGAGTGCATGGTCTGTTCCCACATCACCGGGGAAACCACCTGCTTGACCAGCAACTTCCTAATGTGCTCCGCGTGCATGTACTTTTTGCTGTCGACGTTGTTGTAGACACAGATCAGGGGTTTCTGGATGTCCATGTGTCTCAGGACCTCAGCCAGGGGCTCTACGGCTGGTTCCATCAGTCTCGTATGGAAAGCGCCATTCACAGGGAGCATTTTTGTACGTGTAAAATGGTATTTCCGGGCATTCGCCTGCAAATACTCCAAAGCCTACGAGAGAGAGCAGAGGAAAGCTCTTACTTACATGATAAGCCTTTGCTCATTTGTCCTGCACAAGAGCTTCCCTAGTGCTGAAAAAAATTCCTTTTTGCTACCCAACAACTAGGCACAGACTGAAAAACATGATGAGTCAAGCAAATACTTCTGCGGCTTTCTGAATGAAACCCAAGAGGCTAAGGCAAAGGAAGGGTCGCTGTCCCGCGGCGGTACCTGCAGGTGCCCGGCGATGACCCTGCCGTCGGGGAAGAGGTAAGTGGAGACCTGGCACACGGGGTCTGGGATGCCCAGCGCCTCGCAGTGCTGCCGGGCCTCCGCGCAGGCCAGCTTGTAGTTGGCAGCCGGGCGGCCGAGCCC